TATATATTTGCTATGACCATACTTTTGATCGGAGTTTATTTATTTATTTTTTTTTTTTATAGATTCATTTTTATATATTCTATAGATGCTGGTTGTAATTTGCTGTGAGCCACTGTACATATGTACATGCATGCATGCATACATATGCATGTATATGTATAATTGCAGTGCAATTTTGTATGTACACACGCACATACATACATTCATATATGCAAATTAATTGGCAAGAGAGAAGAAGCAGCTGAAGAAGTTGCAATCGGCTCTGTCCTTAATTTTTACATTTTAGCAAAACTGTCAGCCATTTTGAGTCATTTCGAATGGAGAGAAAAAACTGAAATGAATTGGCTTATGACTACAACTACTAAATTGACAGTTAGCAATGTTGAATTACTGTAAAGATTTCGAATTGTGCTCTGGCCGCTGGCGAATTCAACTAGTTCCAGCTGACACATCGAATCTTGGCCACGGCATTTGCCGTCAAACACAAAAATCCCATCGAAATATTCAAGTGGTAAATTTGCATATTTGTGTATGTAAAGCGTTTCGGTTTCGATTTTTATTTGCACAAGCGCTTAATTGTGTAAAAGGGAAGGCGAACGAAGGCACGGCACGGTACGGCTCAGCTCTGGCCAGGCCAGCAGCTGCCGAGCGCTGCCAATTAATAGATGAAAATGGATTTGTGTAAGAAATATGCGTTACCCATTTGCATGCGCAGCAGCAGCAGCAACAACAACAACAACAACAACAGCAACAATGCATGCCACTGACAAGCCCCGACCAGAGACAATTAGGCAATTATTTGCGCAAAGGATCAAAACCAAAACAAAAAGCAAAGCCAGCGTCTGTCTGTCTGTGCCCTCTCGCTCACACACACACGCACGCACACGCACAGTCTCACTCAGTCACTTACACACACATACACACAGTTGGGCTCGCTCTGGGAACGCGCACAGTGTGGCCAAATGTTCTGCAGATTGGGCTTTCCTTTGTCTCCTCTCTCTCTGTTTTGCGTTTGCTTTTAATTGAACATGAGCAATTAGCGTGCAATTTGTTTCGCTCGCAAAAATGCTAACGGTAATCGCAGCCCCCGCAGCCTCCGCCATTTGTGTGTTCCACGTGTGCCACGTGTTTTCGGGCCGCCCAAAACGCACTTGAGTAGAATTAATTTTAAATGCTGCGCTGCACGCGGCTAAGTGATTATGCCAAGCCAGAGAGGAACCATATCTACCCATACCCATACCCATACCCATACCCATACCTCTCATACCTCATACCATATATCAATTCCCGTTTCCATTTCCATTCGTTCCCATTCCCATTGGCAGCACTCGCTCGCTCACTTGCTCGCATGTTTAATTATAATTAAAAAGCCTTGGCTCATCTTCGGCCCTCTCGCTCTGGCCGATGGGCAAATGGTCGCGCCATTTCGCTCGCACATGCTTCAAACATGCATTCGCTTACTTCCATAAGCATTAAAATGGTTAATTGAGTGCTTAGTGGCCGGGCCACGACTTCCAGCAGCCGCAGCCACAGGATCTTGAACTCATCTATCTGCCTTGGCCATTGTCAAAGCGCGCCATGCACTCCATAATATTAATTATTTTAATTGAAATGTTCATTATTTTACATCTAATTTAGCGCTGCTTGCGTGTGCGACCCCCCCGAACCCTGAACCCCGAACCCGGACCAAAAACAACTCAACTCCAGCTCCATGCTCGGACAGGACGAATCCTGTGCACAATGCTCACATGCTTTTAAGCTTTCACTTTGAGGCCGCCTGTGCACAGTGGGCTACGGCTGATTTGTTTGGCAAATAGATTTCATTTCTTTTCATTGAACACATGTTTATTTCTTTTTTTGTAGTTATAAAGTTTTTTGAAGCTAAGGAAAATAATATTTATGTACAGGGAATACTTTTTATTAATATATTATAATTTGACATTGATTTAATTGATTTTTTTGTGTATTTTTTTTATTTTACATTATTATTATTTTAACAATAAATTTGAATAAAAAAAATGTTTTTAAATTGGTTTTTATTGTATATATGTATATTTTTTGGTGAAAGCTATTAGCTTGAAAAATCTTTTAATTAAATTTTGATTCTTTCATTAAATTAAAAGAAGTTTTATTAATTTTATTATTTATTGAAGATCAGCA